ATTTTACAAGGTATTTTAAAGGTTTTACAAGTTTTTACAAGTGTTTTTGGCGGGAAAAATTGTGGGATCACTTTTCCCGCCAAAAATATTTTGTATTTTGTGAACCTAATTTTGTTATATTTCCTTATATATTTGTAATATCTTTTATTAAAAGAAGGGTAATTTAGTCATTTTGTACATAAAAAGGGGTACTTTTAAAAATGGACAGCCAAAGAGGGCATTTTTGAAAAGGGGTATTGAAAAAGGGGCATTTTTGTGAATCTCCCTAAAATAAATTTGTTTACATACATAACCTTGTACGTACGTTTTCAGTTCCACATATTCTATTTATGCCGGATACTGGACTGTCATATTTTTATTTCACGTATACAAGACAGGTTATGGAACCAAGAATTTATGACAGATATAGGACGGGATATGTTTCCCGTTCTAAAATAGTTACCTAGCTAATATACATGAAATAACCAAACTCAAACCGAATCTATATCCTATTTAACACATGTAATCAAACTATTAGAAATGTTTTGATTAGTTTAGAAAATAAAAAAGTAACATCATTTAACTTTTGCAACTAAATTATATCTTAGTTTTATCTTAAATATAATTTCGCACGTACGTGTAGGTCCGGATCTTAAAATATAACTATGCACTAACGCAACTGAATTTCGTTTATTACTCTAATTTTATATTATTTGTACTATTATAAAGTTCACTAACACAACAAAATATTTTATATTTTTAAAATCTATATAACAATTTCTATAAAAATATCTCTACACGTACGTGTGAATCCAAATCTAATACACTAAAATATATATCATAAAAACAACGAAATAATTTATATTGAATTAAAATTTGTTAGAACTTTTAAAAAAATATGAAACCCCGCACGTACGTGCGGGTCATGATCTAGTTGTTTATTTTTTTCGTATCATTTTGAATTTTTTCATAAAATCAAATACTCTTTTTACAGTATGTATATTATTATTAAGTAATCACCAAAAATGGTAACATATGAAACATTTAACCGTTTTGTTGGGGCCAAAAACAATGGTTTTGCTAGGCTCTTTTTAAATAATAAAATACAAAGAGGACAAAATAAACAAAGATAAATATAAGGGGCGAATGTTAAAGTAAATAATAATGTGTGGGCTTTTTTGTAATAATATTTCTCATTTCCTCTCCAATATTCTTCATCTTCTTCCCAATTCAATTTATCTCTTATAAAAAAAAACCTAATTTCTGGGACCTGTGCAGTCGCACAGTTCACTCAAAACTTTACTTAGAGATGGAAATAGTCGAATCTATAGAAGAGATTCCAGTGCAAAACCCACAAATAGAAGATTTTTCATGGGCTGATTTGACCTGGACCAAATTCGGAACATCAGAGCATCACGACGAAGTAGCACTGATTCCATATTCAAGAGTCGACGAATTCATAATCGGAGAATGCTCAAACGCAGAGTGCCCTACACGATTTCACATCGAAAGAGGAAGAAAACGTTCTCGAGGCAGCCTCAAAGAGTACAAGAGCGATGAGTATTTGGAATATAGACTGTAAGTTTCCATTTGAATCTCTTAAGTACTCAAAAGATCTCATTTTTCACTTGTGGGTTTCATTTGTTTTACTTCTACTTGAAGGTATTGGTGTTCATTTGGTCCTGAGAACTATGGAGAAGGTGGTGGTGTTTTGCCCAGTAGAAAATATCGTCTCAACACTAGAAATCGAGCTGCGAGACCTCAATCTATGAGAGGATGTACTTGTCATTTTGTGGTGAAACGACTCTATGCTCGTCCTTCACTTGCGCTTCTTATATACAATGAGAGACGACATGTCAACAAAGCTGGGTTTGTTTGTCATGGACCTCTTGATAGAGATGCTATTGGTCCTGGTGCTAAGAAGATTCCTTATATATGTAATGAAATTCAGCAGCAAACTATGTCTATGATCTATCTTGGGATTCCTGAAGAAAACGTTTTGGAGAAACATATTGAAGGGATTCAGAGGTATTGTGGTTCTGATGCAACTGTCGATAGTCTTGCCTCTCAGTATGTTCATAAACTTGGGATGATTATCAAACGTTCCACTCATGAGCTGGATTTAGATGATCAAGCTAGTATCAAGATATGGGCTGAGCGCAACAAGAAATCCATCTTCTTTTATCAGGAATCTTCGGAAACGGATCAGTTTATGTTGGGGATTCAAACGGAGTGGCAGTTGCAGCAGCTTGTGCGTTTTGGGCATTGTAGTCTTGTTGCAGCTGATTTGACATTTGGGATAAAGAGACTTAAGGTAAAATGGATCTTGTTTTTATGTCCGTCTCTGCTTTTGTGAAAGTTATGTGCTTAATCCTGATATCTTAAACATTGTGGCAGTATCCTCTGTGCACGCTTCTTGTATTTGATTCAAGACACCATGCTCTCCCTGTCGCTTGGATTATCTCGCGTAGCTATTTGAAATCTGATGTTACGAAGTGGATGAAAATACTACTCCAACGCGCCCAGAGTATTGACCCTGGTTTCAAAATCAATGGCTTTATCATTGACGATGCTGCAACAGAGATTGATCCCATAAGGCATGAATGATGATTCTTCAACTTTGTAGAAAGTTCGAAAATAGGATAAAGAGTCTATTGTGAACTGACTGAACTCTTTTTGTTGTTTTTCCAGGGACACATTTTGTTGCCCCATCCTTTTCTCTCTCTGGCGTGTTCGTAGATCCTGGCTTCGGAATGTTGTGAAGAAGTGCGATAGCCTTGAGGTTCAAAGAGATTTATTCAAATGTTTAGGAGAACTCGTGTACAGTATTTGGGATGGAGTAGATACAAAAAAGGCTTTAGAAAGGTTAACTCAGGATTTTGTTGATCAAACCGCGTTCATGCAGTATTTCACATCCACTTGGTTGCCTAAAATAGGTTAGGGCCTTAAATTTTCACCTTCTTATCCCTATTATATAGAACCGTGCACATGTACTCTTGGTCTTAGTGCCTTATATCTTCTTCAATTACTGCAGGAATGTGGCTCTCAGCTATGAAAAGTCTTCCACTTGCAAGCCAAGAAGCATGTGGTGCGATAGAAGCTTACCATATCAAGCTTAAAGTAAAATTGTTTGACGATACACACCTCGGTGCCCTTCAGAGAGTAGATTGGTTGGTACACAAGCTGACGACGGAACTCCATTCGAGTTATTGGCTTGATCGGTATGCTGATGAAAGTGATTCTTTCCAAAATGTTAAAGAAGAATACATTGCTTCTACTTCCTGGCACAGGGCGTCAGAGATTCCAGAATCCGCTGTTACACTAGACGAAAGTAACGTCCTTGTTGCAAAGGTTCAGTCTCAGAGAGATAGCGATGTAACACGAGTTGTGTGGAACCCAGGTTCGGAGTTTGCCTTCTGTGATTGCGCTTGGTCTTTGCAAGGAAATTTATGCAAACACATCATAAAGGTAAATACAATGTGTGAAAACCGCAAAGGATATGGTGACTCAATGTCTTTGCGTTCGTTCAAAGAGAAACTGAGAAACATAAAGATGAAACCTATGGATGACTCGATAGCCTTGGATCTGTCAATGGCATTGACGCTGCAGATGTTTGATCAGATAAAGCAGTTGGTGCGATTAAGCGGAACAAATGATATCAGCAATATAGTCAATGATTTGCCAGTGAAATGGGGTTGTAAGAAAGGCCGAACAACCATAGGCATTCCTGCATCCATAGCTGCCTTTACAAAGAAAAGGATTCAGAAACGAAAGCGATAAGTCAGAGATGAGATGAGAAGTGGTAGCATAGATCAATTCACTTGTATTGGCTTATAAGAACACGCTTCAGAGTTCAGAGTTAGAAAATTCATAGACGGTTAGCTATAGTGATAGGTTTTTGATAACAGCCATTTATTTCTCCGTTGCTTTTTGATGTGTGTAAATCTTCTAGGTTAAATTGATAATTTCATTGCAATATATTCAAGTATTTGGGACAAAAAGGATTTTTTTTTGGTTTAACATTAATCAAAATGTAAACAGAGGGTTTAAGTAGATATACATCAGAGGGTTATTTTGAATTGATAATAAACTTCAAGAGGATTGAAACATCTCTCTTCAGATACCGGAGGAAACAACTCTCTTCGGATTTAACGGAGGAAGCTCGGCGCGCGA